AAACAACAAGCAATAAACAAACAACAAGCAATAAACAAACAACAAGCAATAAACAAACAACAAGCAATAAACAAACAACAAGCAATAAACAAACAACAAGCAATAAACAAACAACAAGCAATAAACAAACAACAAGCAATAAACAACAAGCAAACAACAAATGTGCTGCCTCTACTACTACGATTGCCCCGAGGGAAACAACCCACGGGCACGAGGAAAAAACTTCGTACTCTACGAATTCGATGAGCGAATTATTGAGAGAAAAAGAAGCATTAATATTTTCTTGCCTGATGGTCTCTTCAATGTTCCGTTTTGTACCGGAGTGCAGTCAGCCAACAGCTAAAGATATCAAAGAATTCGTGGATGTCTTAAAACCTATCAAACATTTGGTGGTGATGACTGGTGCTGGAGTTTCCACCGAATCCGGTATTCCGGATTATCGTTCACCCAAAGTTGGTCAATATGCACGTACCGATTATCGCCCGGTATTGCACGGTGATTTTATGAGGTCATTGGCTGTCCGGAAGCGTTACTGGTCTCGAAATTACGTCGCGTGGCCACGTTTTTCCGCTTCACAACCAAACGAAACACATCAAACAATCGCGAATTGGGAGAAGAGTGAACGATTTACGTGGCTTATCACGCAAAACGTAGACGGATTACATACAGCAGCTGGATCGAAAATGTTGAGTGAATTGCATGGCTGTAGTCGACGTGTTATTTGTATGAATTGCCATTCGCTATACAATCGGCAAACGATACAGGAATGGATTGAGAAGGAAAATCCAAATTGGTGTATAGAAGAGATTGGAGAATTAGCACCGGATGGTGATTGCGATATTCCGGATAAAGCTATCAATAATTTCAATCTTCCAACATGTCCGAAATGTGGTCCGAAATCAATTCTAAAAACGGATGTCGTCTTTTTTGGCGATTTCATTGATCCAAAAATTCATGATAAGTGTTATAATGTGGTGGAAAATTGTAGTGGTATGTTGGTGCTTGGTTCCTCGCTTACTGTTCTTTCCGGTTACCGTTATGTTGAACAAGCATACCAACGATGTGTGCCAATTTTAATTGTTAATATTGGTCCAACTGCTGCTGATCATTTAGCTACCGTTAAATTATCAGCCAAATCTTCAGATGTCATAAGATATGTTCCAAATCTGTGATATCATTTTTTGGGGAAAAAAACGATTAATTTTCAAAGCTATCTTCCGGAAAATCGGTTAGTTTCAGTATTGTTTTCCGGAAATACAACTAGTTGCAAAGTTTCAGAAATAATGTTAATTTCAGAATTCATATATTAATTTCTTAATGACTAAGCATTTGATATACAGAAACCAGATGAAAGCTACTTAGTTAACTTAGTAACTTAGTTAACCGAAAAAATTTTTCCATTTTAATTAATTAATAAAAAACTGCATAGTTCTTGTACGTCAATCATATTGTACATCAAAAAACGTTTCAAAGGTTTTTTATATTTTCCAAAAAATTTATCAGATCACAGTTATAATTTGAGAAATTTAAAAATCTCGTGTTTTTACGCAGTGTAAATGTGATAATTCATGTCGAATTATTATATGTACACTCTGGATCAATGGGAGATTTCTCACTGAGCGATTACTTTAGTCAAATCAAAGCGTCCTAAACATTCAATAGTCAGTCGAAGTATTCTCGTCGTTTTTTATGTTTAAATTTTGGTTTTGATTTATCCATCTGTTAATTCAATTCAATTCATAAAAGACTCCCCATTTAATTAGCTTGCTTTACCGATTGCATACTACCACGGTATTGCAATTAGTTGAACTTCTTTATCTGAATCAAATAAACATTAAAATTTTCTGTAATATTTAATTCAGATTGGGAATTGAATATTTGTTGTACAGTTTATGCGGTAGATAAATGTTGTGTTAAATTTCAAATGATTCAGTCATCCATGCTTTTGTAACAAAACAACTGAATTGTTTTATTTATCTCAACAGAGAGAGAGAGAGAGAGAGAGAGAGAGAGAGAGAGAGAGAGAGATAGAGAGAGAGAGAGAAGAGTGAATAAAAAGATATTCAAATAATCATCATATTGCGCAAACTGTAAAAATCTATCAACATATTATACTTCACTATTTCTTTCTGGATTTGGTTTTCCCCTGAAAAGAGAAAAGCAGTAAATCCAACAAACACTAAAATACAAAGCAGAGCATAAGATAAAGTATGCATAAAAGTAGTAGTAACAGTAACAGTAACAAAGTAAAATCAATATGACTCAGCAATTGCATAGTTTTATCATGGAAGTTAAAAAATTTCGTTATAAATCCTGAAAGGACTTCAAAAGTCTAATATGGAAAAAGAGAAGTAAAAGACCTCCCCTGCTTCCGGAAGACATAAAATTTAAACAGTCATCTTACCTTTTTTCCTTTTGCACCAGTATGATGTAATTTCTTGGCAAATTTCCTATTCCCGACTTTCCTGCGTTTTCCTCTAGCACTAACATTTGCTCCACTGTTACCGCCTTCTTTCGTATCTTTCACTGCCATATAATTACCAAAGTGAAGTAACTCATCTAGAATATTCTGCCGATCTTGAATCCTTTTATTATGCTTCTCCTTCTTCGTCATTTGCAAACGAATAAGATAATCCTCTTCATATCTAAAATAAACAGAAATTTATAAATTACAGATGAGTAAATGGTACAAAATAGACTCAACTTCCACAACCGAAAATAACTTCAATATCAGGTAGGAAAATTCAAGCATTTTCAAAATTTGACTAAGTTTTGATAGATGAAAAATCGGAATCCGCAAACAAACACAAACTAAACAAGTAGCAAACAGATATAAACTTGCTTTTGCTTCTCAATATCTTTTTGCTTTTTCCTTCTTACTATATTGTCATCCTGAAAACATTGAAAGTTTACAAGTTCTTCAAATGATTTTCATTTGATTATACTCATTTTGTTTCTTCAGACGTATATATAAAATATTGAAATGATAAGAGACGACCGCCAGAATTGCAAACTATTTAATTTTTCCATTAGGTAATGTTGCAAGAGGGTTAGGAAAAGCACGTTAGATTCGAATTGTTCGCTTGAGTTAGCTTGAGTTTATGCTCTAATTAAGTTGAAAATTTTAACTAAAAGCTATTAGATATCATTACCTGGAATTCTTCCGGAGCTTCGCTATACTGTGCTTGCAGATCTTTTATTAAGCTACTCTGCAGAGCTCGCCGCCTTGCTCGCTCCATTTTTCGTTCCTCTACTTCTTCCTCATCTTCTATAAACTGATTTTTTTTTTCAGATAATGATAAATTTAATCAATCATATAAAATAAAAGCGTATTTATATTATCAGTAGATTAGAATAGCAATTAAAATTTTTTTTTTCAATTTTTCAATTTGAATTTTTTTTCAAAAAAACAAACATCATTACCATTGTAATGTACGGCCATAAGTTTCGGTGGGACATATTTTTTAGATTTCATTTCCTTCGAATTATCTTCATCACTATCATCTTCCGATTCCAACTCTTCACTTTCATCGTCCACTTTTAGCCTTTCTGGATGTGGCCGTAATGTCTGAAGGAAACAGAAATATTTGAAATTTCTATTAGATTAACTACTGCGACAATTTGATTCTGCTAAATCTGATGCCTTAAAGAAATGAGATCTACTTGACGATGCATCCATATTCTGGAGAAAAAAAAAAGTTCAGACATACTCTTGTACCACTGCTTGCCGTATCAGATGTAAGTGAGATTAATTTTTCAACATAACTTTTCATTCTGTCTTCAATAGGACGCATTCGTTCCAAAACCTGCAATACTGCCGTAAAATCTTGCAATTTTCATTTCAATTTTCAACAACAATTTCAGCATCATTTCCAACTTAAAGACATAATAAATATATTTATAAAAGCAAAAAGTTAGAGAATTCACCGTTCTCAAATAAACCAAACGTTCAATGGCTGGATCGCCTTGTATACTGTTTCCAATGCTCATTTGATACATCAAATAAACTAAATCACGTGTGTATGCAAGCAAATCACGATTTTTCACTTCATAAAACGATATTCCCTGGAGAAAATTAGTAAATATAACAAATTTATGAAAAATCACACAAAGAAATTACTAGAAATACAATAAAAGATAAAAAATTAACTAGTTGAAAACAGTTTTAAATACAAAATAAATCCCTCCCCCGAAAATTTCTGTCTGAAGTAACTGATTAGAAAACTTTTTCGTAATCTATAATCAACTCAAGAAATTGACGACAAAAAGGAAATCTAACTGAATCAATAACGAAAATGACCCGAGAATAGTGGATTAATGGTTAGAAATAATGCCTAACATCACGTTCTTTTTCTTTTTGAAGGTGAATACAGAAATCCTTGGCCACATTTAGTAGTTCAGTCGATGTTTTCACGCAATCCGCAACAACACTCGCGAAACGTTTCTGCTCGTCTTTCGACATTCCGGAGAATTACTGACTGAAGAAATGTTTGAGATAAAAAGAAACACTTCTTTCAAAAATTCACATTCAACGCAATTGCGAGAAACGGATGACGCTTAGTTAGCCAACCATTTTGTTATTTTTAATGAAAAATTAATCATTTCATTGTCAAAAATACGACAATAACCCGAATAAGACATGTTACATTATATGCTGTCGTGCATGAATAAATGTTGTATTAATAATTCAATATATTGAAGAACTTTCCCACTGAATTTGTTGATTGTGGCCTGCTAAAATTTAAAAAGATTGAAGAAAAAGCCAACAGAGACTTGAAAGAACTGTTTTGATATCAAATTCAAATATTAAAAAATTTGGATAGCCAAGTCCCGCGTAATTCATTAAATCACAATTCGTATGAAATGTTGGTGTTCCAAACAAGTTATCGTCCTTTAAATAGTTGCAAATAATTGCATAAACAACTTTTAAATAATCATATACATTTTTGAAATATCCAGATAAAATTATCCAAAGTAGATAGATTTCTCACTGCATAGAACTCGGATTTTAAAAACAACTTTCTATGAAAATATTTCTGAGTCCAACGTTGTTAACAGAAAGATAATTTGATTATTACATGCATCTTATTTCAAAGATACATGCTAATAAGCAGTATCTGTAGCAAAATAATCACAGCAGTTCAAAATCAAAAATATCATTAGCAAAACAACAACGAAATATTACTATTACTTCGTCTCTTCAATTTACAAAATTAAAAATACTAAAAAATAAACCGAAATCAAAATTGGACCATCTTCAATCATCTGAGATGTCGCGCAGTTACAAGTTTCGAATCTAATTCACGAAGATAAGTCTGTGGGCAAAAGAAAAATGGCCAATTAATAGAGTGGTTTCAACAGATTTCGTAAATTTCGATTCTTAATAAATCGAAAATTTCCGATTCGTGCTACAACCGGCGATCGTATGTCATTATTAGGACAATGATAGACGACCTTATCCGGCATGCAACTGCAATAGCCATCGAGAAAGTGTTAGAGTGAAATATGCGGATAGTCTGATATCTCAATCAGTTACCAATAAATATATCCAACTTAATTAGATACTTTCGTTGTGGCTACATCCTGGTTCCTGGTTACTCAGGTTTGCTTCAATTTTTCCTTCATTCGCGCTTGAGTTTGCCCGGCTACTGGTTGCATAAGCAACAAGCATTTCCTTTAGAAATGACAATTCTTTTTGAAGCCCTTCAACCTAGAATAACATAGCAACACTGCAAAGAAAGCAAGGAATTATGTATCAAAAACAGCTAGAAAAGAAAAATACATTAAAATTTAATAAATTTATGTAAATTTTGAAAATTTCTGAAAATCTATGTAAAAATGTGCAAAAAAAGCGTAAAAAACATCACAAAATTACAATGATAATATTTAATGTTACAATTTCAAAAAATGCTTTTCTCACGTACATAAAAATTCCTATAATACCATCTTTTAAGCTACTATAAGAGCTAAACGATTATATCATAGCCTTAGAAACAAACAGCTACCTTTTTTTCCAGTTCAACATTTTCCTTCCTTAAATGTTCCACTCTCAGCAATGTATCTGTTTCTTCTCGCCGTTTCTTTTGACGAGTTCTACAAAACTAAGATTTTTCTTGAAGTAAAATCATCAATTTATCATCAAAATATAAAATTTACTGTTCAATAAACAAAGCTTTTAAATTTAGCAATGTTAAAACAGTTTTTAAAAATTTTTAGAAAAAAAAGTTTTTTTTTTTCGGATGTTTCAGATTAATCATCCTAAAATTCCAATTAAAATCAAATTTCTTGACTTGCATTATCAGATAATGTTCAGGAGAATAATAGAGCAAAGAAAAACCTGTTCACAGCATCGTTATTTCGCTTTCTCTTCAAAATATATTCCTCATCACTTAATTTGTTACCATCACATGAAACAACAAGTTTCCGTGTGGCACCACCACATTGAGAGGGATCTGCTGGTACCATTTTATTGAACACTCACTTATTGATCACGTTGCCTATTGTTAATTCAAATAAAAAAAAAATACGATCAAAATGAACTGTTATTCATTTTATACATCACACGTACGTTACACGTAATCTATACATGAATAAGTCTGTTGCTATCAGCTAAATATTCATCCATTGTTGCTAATACGTATTTATAAACAATTATCCATGAAATGAGGAGTTGAAAATAAGAAACATGAAATAAATGCAACATACGTGTAGCACGCACGTATCGTTACGGACATCATCACGAGTTGATTAAATATTAAAATATACAAAATTAGCAAAGTAACCCTGAACCTAATTGATCTGCTATGATTACATCATTAATTGCCACGGCAAATAACTTACGCATAAGTGCTTCCTTGATTTATTGGTTATTCTAATCGTTACAGAGATTGAGAGTAAGCGGAAAGACTATGGTGTGTTTGTGCGTATACGACAGAAGGGGGAGGTAAAGTTTGAAAGGATAATGCGAAAGCGGGCAGAGAATGCGAGAGCTTATAAAAGGAATCGTTGTTAGAGACTGAAAAGATTTGTTTGAGAGTAATAGCAGTATGATAATGTTTCGAAATGATTTTTTTTTTTTTAAAGCGCCGAAATTTATTGTATATGCATATCTTACAGAGTGAATGCTTGATAAGTGTGAATTGAATGCTATTTATTGAATGCAATTAAACGATCAATAAATATGGCAAAAATTTCTGTTAGCTTTTTTAAACTGACAATAATATGAGATGAAAAATGAATGAAATGAATGAAAGATTATTTTTCATTTCATCATATATTAAAATTATTTCCAAAAATCTTATTTTTGAAAATTATACTTGCAAATGTTTTCAAACTTTTTAAATTATTATTGAAGATCAGTCATAAAGTAAAGCGGAATTTTGAAGATTGTAGAAGCTATATTGCATAAGTTTTTACCAAAACAGCTAATTCAGTTTTGCTTGAATTTACTATAACATATAACGAATTCATATTTAATAAAAAAAACTGTTATATTTTTGGATAATTGGTAAAAAAAAAACTATATTTTTGGCTAATTCGTAATCTCATCTAAAATTCAGGAATGTATTGATACGAACAAGGAGGACATATCGCATTTTGTGCGTAATTTAAAATTTGGCGAAAATGAATTCAAAATAAGCCAAAAATGCATTGGACATGTTAGTTGCGTCGTTTGGGATAGTGCTATTGTAGCATGTCATTATTTTGTTCAACTTCAATCATTCTGGAGAAGACGAAAGGTACTTCATATAATTTTATCCTCTTTATTTATGATTATGGGAAAATTAAGTTTGTTTATGTGAAATAGAAGGATTTTTTAAATTGTAAAATAATAATTGAAATTTAGATGATACAAAAAATATTTGAGTTTCATTGAGAAAATTGGATTGAAATATGTACTGTATGTCATTGGAAATAAAAAGGTTCTGAAGTCCTTTTAGTTCCTGATGCCGTAGCATGCATAGTATTGTAGCTGCATTGTTATTACAATAATTATTTAAGTAACCGATCGTGTTTGCATAATCTCTAATATAATATCACTTTTTCAAGTTTTGTCAATACGAATTCCAATTGGAAATTTTTCAATCATATATTTATCATTAGGTTCTAGAACTTGGTGCAGGAACAGGAGTGTGCAGTATTGTATTAGCAGCGTTGGGTGCAGATGTCGTTGCAACTGATTTATCGGAAGGAATCAAATTACTGGAACAAAATATTCGAGAAAATTGGGAAACGATAACAAGAAACGAAGGCTCTGTTAAAGCTGAAATTTTGGATTGGAATGATCCTTGTGATAAACCTCTTTCATTCGACGTTGTAATAATGGTCGATATAATTTACTACTTAAGGGTAAAATTTTGCATTATATTACTTTTTTATTCTTGATTTGATTTAGTTTTTCAAGAAGTATAATGTGTGGAACTTTTATGCTTTTAGTTCTTGCTTTTTTGTCAGGAAGTTTGGTAATTCTTGGATTCGATGAAATTTTCATTCCTTATAACGAATAGCACAGCATAATTTAGAAAATGAAAAGTTATTCATCAGAAAATAGTTTTTGATAATTTGCTTCATTTTATGTTTCACATGAAACCATCGTCAAGACTTCATATTCGAATTCAGGCATTAGAAGGACTTGTTAGAATAATATTGCAATTGGAAGCGACAATGATTTTTTGTTGCTACGAAGTGCGCGATATTGGAGAACCGAAAATTGCTCAAGCAAAATTTTTTGAAATGATATCTCCTTTTTTCAACATTTGTCCTGTAGCAGATAAGGAGTTAGATGAGGTATATAAATCACCTGATATCAAAGTACTACGTTTAGTGCGGAAATGATCAAACTTATCTTTGATTTAATCATATTCAGAAACGAGCGTAATCTTTCTCTTTTCAATTAAATAATGTTTTACTTTTCTAAGCAGAAAATAATGCTTTTACCAGAACTGAATTCTATTTATGAAAGTAACTAGCTTGTAAAGATTTTTCTTAATGACCTTATCACTCTCTTGTGATTCACATTACGAAATCCTTTTTTTTCGCTCTGTCCATATATTATCACTCCTTTTGCTACTCGACAATTTTAAGTCACTTCTTTGTTTATAATCGATTTTACTAAAATTTCATTCAAAATGTTTTTCCAATAGCCTTAAATATTATATTGTGGTTGATTAGTTTAATTCATTTGCTTTGATTGACTTTGATTACTTCTGCAGTTTTGTTTGATTTTTGCTTCAATTGTTAATTCCTATCATCGATCATTTGTTAATCAAAGCAATGTTTTTAGCATAGTCTGTTGTGAAGAAAAAATCAAATTCAAAATAGAAATTTTGAGTTTTCGTATTTGCTTGATTGTTGAGCTCATATTCAACTGTTTTGTGTACAGAAATTATCTGTGATAAGGGCAGAAAAATAATGCCATTGCAAAAAAAGTGTGCTTTCATGTTTTATATTTTCTTTTACTTTTGCATTACGCTACTGATTAATTTTTCCTCATTATGCCTATATTTTTTTTTCAATTTTAAATTAATGCCTGTGATCATCAATCTGAGGATAGTTTGCGTATTTTGGATACATACTTACATATGCTGTCGGTAATGTTATGGTCAAGAAGCGAATTAATCTTTTTTCTGATTGATCCTGAGAATTTCAGTGAATTCATCCAGTTTGCGATTAAAAGCAATGTTTAAAATTACTGGTTTGAAAAGTTCAATAAAATTGAAATTTACATCTTTCACGTGAGGTTCTGTTAAATTGATATTATATAATTCTAACAAATTTTCTGTTATATACTTGTTGGATTCACTATTAATTGCCAGCAGTAATATGGATAAGTTTCTGCTTTCTCTGACTTTGGTTAAAATTTTTCTCAAATTTGATAAATAATATAAAAAATAAATCTATTACTCTTTGTGGTTTGATAATCTGTTTAAACTATTTACATAAAAGCACTTGACGTAATTTTAAAGTTTGAAATTTACACCCATTTTTTTGCAGAAATCATGTATGATCCATCATCCAGTGCCAATATCAACGAAGCAACAGTTGATCATTTCTCGTTAGACTGGATGATTGATTTTTGTAAATTTCAGATATCTGGAAATGCTGTTCTCTCGATATGTATTATCAAACCAACTGATAAAATTGTAATAATTTTTCTTCTTGCAATATTTCCTTTCCGAATATTCCTAATTCCAGTAAAGTCCTTTCTCCACATTCATTTCTAAAAATTTCACAAAAAAAAAAATGATGAGCACATTTGTATTCATGAAGATAAGAACAGGATTATCCGATTGTCCAGTTTCAGCAGAAATGACGTGCCTGTAATGATTCATACTGTCACTAATTAGGTTATGAGTGGCCCACTTTGTTAATATTCGCAAAATCAGCAAATATCTCCAACAGAAATTTGTTTCAGTCTTAGATACCTTACTTTTTTTGATATTCGCAAATATTTCCCACAGAAATTTGTTTCACTCTTGGATATCTTACTAAAATGCTAAAAATAAAACAATCTATACTTTTAAGTGAGCAAATAATACACAAATATACAAAAAGAATTGCAATGGAATATAATTCTTTTTTATTCCATTGCAATTCTCTAAAAGTTTAGTAGTATTAAGTTGTGGTGCACTTATATCTGGAACAAAATTTTATGTGAATTTGAGAAAAAACTGAAGACTTTGAGAAGTCATTAAGTATATATTTTTTGTCTTTCTACCCTTTCGTTATTAGTATTGTTAACAGCAGTGAAATAAGATCAGTGATTAAATATTTTCAGATATTGGACAGTCAATCGTTGGAAATAGCAAGCATTAAATTGGAAAACAAAATCGTCGATTATCGTGTGGAAAGTGCTGACATTTTGGGTGAAAAAATAATAATCGATGTGGGTAAACGAAAAGAAGGAGATAAATTGTAGGTCTTTCGATTTGGGTAAACGAGAAGAAGGAGATAAATTGTAATTAATTAGTTAGCTGTTAGTTGATGCATCATTTAATTGATTCTTTGTATGAAAAAATCTTTTTTTGAAAACAATATTTACTGTATTATATAACAATAATTATCAGTGAAATGTTTATAGATGTAAATCAAATTTTATGGAGAAAATTGAAATATTAATTTATTCCAGGATTGTTTAAGAGAGATTATTTTAATATACAGTTTACGAAATAAAACTTAAAACATCAAAATTATTAATTATTTCTTAGCTAATAATTGCCAGAACTATGTTAATAGTTTAGATTGTTAAGTAATAAATTTGTCATTTTAATTTCAGCAATCTCACCATCATTTACAACACAGGCGAAAGATGCTCGGCGTTGCAATTTTTAAAAGCCGAACAAACAGTAACGAAAAAAAAACCCTATTTATTCAGCCAATGTCAGCATATACATGCTCGTTCAATAGTACCATGTATGGATACACCTTCCGTAAAACAAAGTTACGATGCCGTAGTAAGATTATCCCTTTTTCGTTCAATTACGTTTCCGAATTTAGTCTTATATTTCCGAGTTTAAGAACTCAAATTATTTTGATTTATACCAATTTATTTTGTTATTTTTAAAATAAACCAAGACCACAGTATATGAGTTTTACCTGTTTCTGATCTTTTACACTTAAGAAAATTTGGGCTGTTTTAAAACAATTTTCTCTATTTTTAAATTACACCAATAATCAATAACTTAAACATCATCTTCATCTCTCGATATTTTTCCATTCCTCTTTCTTATGTATAATCTTTGTATTGTACAGTTATATTTTTCATCCTTTATTCAGGTAGCTGTTCCCAGTGATTTGGTATGCCTTATGAGCGCAGTTACTATAGGTGATCCGGAAGAAGTTGGAAAGTTAAAAAAATATTCATTCAAGCAATCAATACGAATACCTTCTTATCTTTTGGCCATTGTTGTTGGATTAATGGAGAAACGAGATTTGAGCTCACGCTGTGCCGTTTGGGCTGAACCGACTGTAATTGATAAAGCATTTTATGAATTTGCTGAAACGGAACGAATGCTAAAAGCTGCTGAAAGTTTATTCGGAAAATATGAATGGGGAAGGTAAATAGAATGACTCATGTTTATTCTTGATGGTTGTAATGACTTATACATAGCCGTTTTGCCAAAATCATGTACTCATATTTTTCTATTTTCTTACTTTTATTGACTTAAAATTTAACGCGAACAAGTTTCCTTGCTAATGATATTAAACCGTTCTATGTTTGCTTGTTTCTAAAGAACAATGCCAAAACTAAAGTTTTGGTTTGATCAGTTAAATCATTAAGTTGTTGAAGGTACAAAATTAATGACAGATCTAATAACTTAGCAATATCAGGTATGACTTGGTTGTGCTTCCGTCGTCATTTCCATTTGGTGGTATGGAAAATCCATGTTTAACATTTGTAACTCCGACATTATTAGCTGGTGATCGGTCGGCAGTTCATGTGATAGCGCATGAAATTTCACACAGCTGGACGGGAAATTTAGTTAGCAGTGCTAATTGGGAACATTTTTGGTAAATAATTTTTGACAGTATTTTTCTCTGATGAAAGTTCAATAATTTTATCATATTTCATTGTGGATTTAATTTAACTGTTTTTGCTTTCTCGGATATTGAAATTTATTTTCATACAGCAATGGGTAGAGAGTTCTCAACGAGGCATTCATTAATGAAGACTTCTCAGACAAGTTTAAACAGCTTACTGATATTATATTAAGTGAAATATTTTGAAATGAACATCTTGAAAGGTAGAGTTTTTTTAGTTCATAGTAATTTTAAACGCTGAAAATTTTTCATTGTTTTTCTAAGAAATTCTTTGTTTTGTTATTTTGCAGGCTAAATGAAGGTTTCACCACATTCCTGGAACGTAAAATAATAGGAAAACTTGAAGGAGAAAAACAACGACAGTTCGAGGCTCAATGCGGTTGGGAAGTAAATTTTTTAGTTTTAAGGATTATGTATAGTATTCACTGATTCGGATATTGAAAATAAAATCATTTCAGGAACGTTTGATGAGTGCCGTTAAAGAGCAGTTTTCGGATGATGATCAATTTACGAAATTGATACCAAATTTGCAAAACAGACATCCTGAGGATGCATATTCATCGATCCCATACGAAAAGGTTTGTTTTATTGAGTTAAAATACCAAAGCGTGCTTAACTGTTTTAAATTGATCGACAATACAAGTTTGGATCTCGATGTATGAATTAGACTGTATTAACTTCATTTTCTGATTGTTCTAAATCTTTTCTGCTGCATTAAGGGATCAGCTTTTCTCATGATTCTTGAACAAGAACTTGGTGTAAGTCAATTCAATGAATTCTTGAAGAAGTATATTGAGAAATTTGCTCAGAAATCAATAGTAACTGACGATTGGAAAACCTTTTTGTATGAATATTTCTCAGATAAGAAAAATGTGCTTGATAGTATTGATTGGAATAATTGGTTACATGATGCAGGAATCCCCAAAACAAAACCGCAGTAAGTTAAAAAGGCTTGTTATCCAATTTCTTGATATAGTTTTAAAATTTAGTTCACAGTAACGAATTTTTCGAAACCATTTTGTGAGGACTTAAATGTTACTTTTTCAATGCAAGCGTCACTTTTTTTAAACTTTGCAAAAATGAATTTATGAATTTGAATAAATGTTTCCAACAGATAACTTAGAATAGAATTAAAGGACTGAAGTAGCACAATTTTTGAGCGCATATTTTCCTGTCGTTTAAAAAATTTAAGAACAACTAGAATCCACATTAATTCTTCCAAAATCTGTTGGTTATTTTATAAAGTTTTGTTTTTTAACTTGCAGATTTGATGATACAGCTATACGTGAGGTTGTTGCATTGGCAGAAGAATGGATGAATATGAGTGATTCTGAAATAATGAATATTGATAATTCGAAATACCTCTCTCTTTCTACACTGCAGAAGGAGAAAGTGTTGAGCCATTTACGATTGGTTAGATTTTTTATCAGTTAATATCACATTATTTTTTTGATTCAATAGGTTTCTGTGTATTTCAAATTGTTCAATACATTCAGATATATCCAGACAAAAAGTTATTGCATAAAATGTGAAGAATCTTATTGTACTAGCCACTTGGAAATATTCCTATCACAATGGAAGAAAGTTGGAGAAGAAGCAAAAAAGGAGTGATGGAGGACAGCATTAAAGAGATAGATTGAAGCAGTAGAAAAAGAGAGAAAATTTCAAAGCATGATTGGAGCAGTAGAAAAAGAGAGAAAATTTCAAATCATCTACTTTGCCACGATTTACCATTATTTATTCATATGTAATTTGCAGACAAAAAAGCCACTTTCACATGCGAAATTGGCACGTCTGGATGAGGTAAATCAACTCTCAAAAACTGGGAACTGTGATATTTTATCAAGTTGGATTCAGTTATGTTTGAAAAATTATTGGGAAGACATTATACCGCTTGCTTTCGATTTTGTCACGCAACAAGGTCGGATCAAATATGTACAACCAATTTATAGGTAAATTCTTTTCGAATACTATTTCAAAGCTATCTCGTTACGAATAACTGCCACGAGAATATCTGTTGTGAGGAAAGATAGGTTTCTTAAGAGGCATGGCATCCAAAGGTTCCAGAAAATCCGAGAATGGGGATATGAATAGCTAAAATTATAGAAATCAAAAGAAGTTCATCTTAAGGAGACTTTTAAATTTCAATTTTCACAAATTGTTATACGTTTTGAATTATAAGGATATTTTCAATTTTCGATTTCAAATCTTAAATTGCTGTAAAACAAATACTTAGATCGCTATTCACCACAGATTTCTTCGTATCACTTCACTCAAGATCCACTCAGCTTTTTGGTTTAATTTCTTTCCAGTTCCCTTTATCTCATACTCTTACATTCAAACTTTTCCAACTGACAATTGATATTTCTTATGCTTTGGTTTATGATGAATTTAAATTATATCTGTTCTATAGGGATCTTTTCCTTTGGTCAGAAAGTGCTGGTCGTGCAATTGAGTTGTTCAAAAAAAATGCTCCTTCGATGCATCCAATTACAGTATCGGTTGTGGCAAAGTTGATCCCAAAATAAATCTTATCCGATTAAAAAACATTTTTCACTTTTTATTTTACACTTTATTTGACAATTATATCTCATGCTATATGGTAAATGAAGTTGTAATTTTAGCTCCAATAGATTTTTAGTGTTATTTTTACTTATTTTCTTATTGTTATTCTTCATGATTTTTCGTATGGTTTCCCATGCGATTGGGATGTTTTACTTTATTGGTTTTGATAAAGGGATTTACAAATAGCTCATCATCATTATCCCTTTGTTCCTATATTACTGTGATATATAATTATTGTTTGACAGAAATGTGTATTCTAGAAATCAGATGAACGTAACTATTCTCCTCTTCCTTAAAGATAAAGAAATGAGTAGTAACTAGAGTCTTACAAGAACTGGAAGCTGAGATTTTTCGGATTCCAGAAGTCTCGCAAAATTAACAATAACAACAATCAAGCACCGTAGCAAAACTCAAACAAAGATTATACAAGTATTTCACAATTCTTCCCAATCACCAGATAACTTTTCACGCTTACCAAGACCAATTAAGGCGGCCAATGCTGCCACCTGAAATTGGTCATATCCATCAAGTAACTTTTTACTAATAAAACGAAGCGACTAACTCGTGAAACAAAAGCAATTACCTGTTCGGCCATCTTTCTGTTTGGTTGCCCAATGCGCGATGAGAACTTTCTACTATCAACTTCAGCGATTGCCTCATATCTCTTATCAGTTGTACGAAGCTTCTAAAATCTATCGGTGTCAGAACAGTAATGAGATTAAAAAATTATAAATGAACAGTATTCACATGTTGCTTTTTTGCAGCTCATATGGGATTCATCTTTCTTGATAATTCCTCTGATAAGACATCCTATCTTCTGATTAGATATCCTATCTTTGAATAAAAGTGCCTTCTTCATCAACTCTTGTATAAAAGACGAAGAAATAACGAAAATGCTTAGCACTTCAAACTATATAATTCTTCAGCACTAATGCCTGTAAAATTTGATGATAAAACAATAGTTATAACTTACGCATTGATAAATTGGTCGCTTGATTCCACTTTCATCGCAAAAAGTATTCAAAACACATTTCGGAGTTACTGCTCCACTTCTATCTCTCAATCGCTTACTAAACAATTATTACTATTCTCAACAGTTATAAGCAAATATACAAAGAAATTGATATAAACTAACACGGTTCTAGCATTTACATATGAACCGTCAACGATTTTCAAGCGAAGTGACCAGATAGCTTGAACATGCTAGTCTTTTTTTTGCTAATTCATATATATAAGATATCTCCTTTCCATGCTACTACAAGGAGATATTATACTGCACAACTGAACAGCAAAATGATATCTAAGTACTCAAACATGCAAATACAGACGGATTTTCGGTAACGAATAAAATTGATGAAGAACGCAACTAACAAACTCTTCGTTGTGATAATTAATTTCATAGAAACATTATTATTCTGAAAACTTACGAAGGAAATGTAAGATCAATAAAGCTTATTCCTGTCTGACTATCCACTTCAAAGCTTCGCTTTTGTGTTGCTTGCTTTCGAATATTTTTATAACAATGATACATATCACTAATGGACCATGCTTTACAGATATCTGAAATACTTCCTGCTAAGACAGTTTCCCGCCCACGTTCATCAGTTTCCTGAAAAATTATACTTTAAAAAGTTGCATTTTGAGAATATTTTTACAAAACATAATGGAGAATTCCGAAAAGCGCAAAAATTAAGTGGCTGCACAACTTATTATGCACTGCTTAACAAATTGAAAAAACTGGTAGTAACTTGGCACCTGCTTAGATCCAAGAATCCTTTGCACCACATATTTTGTCGAAGTAAAGTTTTCATCATATTTGCAAACCTAAAATATCAAGAAATGGATGAAATTCAGTTTCCATTAAATTTCAATCTAAAACAAATAAGAAACATGAAAGCAAAAATTTTAAAGAAAAAACAGTTTATAATATAGCTTAGTCTATCATTGTACTTCGATTTAAGAAGTTCGCTGTACGTTATCAAAATAACTTTATTGAGGCACTGAGAGTTAAATAATCTTAGTAAGTTATAAAAAATAAACCGCATTTCTTTACATGTAAAATTCACAAATTTTTTACGAATTATTAAATATAATAACTTTATTCTTTAAAAAAATTCAAGAAAAATTAAGGGCAACTACCTTTTTCAGAAATGCACATATTTCCATTTCGAACGATACGAAACCTTCAGGACGAAATATACTCGGACTACTGAGAGCTTTTCTTGCTATCATCATACTACTTGCACCACTTTGCTCCCAAAACTTCACAATATCTTCATATTCTTTAATGGAACCAGAGAATCCACTATAATATAACACAAAATAAACTGTAGAACTTCTTTTAAAATAAAAATTAGATACAGCTTTTACAGAAGATAGAATATAAACTCAACTATTTTAGGCTTGATGTATGAGTGATAATTCTGAAATACATTGTGTGGACAAATATATTTTAGTACGCCAACTAACTTAGCAATAACTGGTATAGAAACTAGTCGAGTGACTTCGCGAATCTCATTTAGGCGATTCATATCATTTTGTCGTTCATTTCTACGTCGACCATGTATACCAATTGCCGAAACACCCGATCTTTCGAGCATCTTCACGAATTCGAATGTATCCTCCCGCTAGGAGCATAATATATAGGTTTCACAAAAATAAATTGAATCATGTAAATCACTAGTGAAAGGAACTAAAACTTACACATAAGTATAAACAATAAAATACTTCCATTAATAAAAGCATAAAAATTAACGCATATATATACCTTATCTAGGACACGTATTTTGCAGGAGACTGGAACTGTTGAAGTGGAAACACATGTCTGTACTATCTGAAATTCAAAATTATATCAAAATTTTATGCGCTTGCAAGTTTCATTATATAAAATGAAACAAATATATACCTTTGTACATAATATTAGATGGACTTTAAATTAAATTCAGTTAAAACTGATAGAAGGACAAACAAATGCGCTTCTGTGACAGAAGGAAAAAATGCATACTTTTCAATAAATTGCACAAAATAACACTTAACTTGCGAATTATGTTAAATTCAGCAGATTAAACCCCGAAGAATTAATTGGGGTGGAAATAGGTAACTAGATATCGTTAAGCTTCCAAACATGCACTTCATTAACACCTTATTAGTTAATCTAATTTGAATTTCATTCATGAAGATATAGAAATAGATTGAGATATTTATATACCTCTTTCGCCTTTTCCGGATTTCCTAATAAAGCAGCACCCATACCGCCGGTTATTGAAAATGGCTTCGGACATCCCATATTGATGTCAATCGCTGCCACATCCTTTTCACTGAAAAATAGAGAATTAAAAAATATAGTTAAATGTTTAATTCAATAACTATTACAGTGGTTAAATGATAAAACAACGTATGCAAAAACAGCCGGAAAAGATTCTATAACTCAATGAATTTAAAAACAAGGCAAAGATAAGAGTTAAAGACCAAATTAATAGACATACACTTTTTTAACAACATTCGCCGCTCGTTGTGCATCATTTGTTCCCTGGAAGTAAAATTTTGATTTCAGTTTTTCCTCGTATAGGTTCCACACTTCTATTTGTTGAAATCTTATCCCTAAATGAGCAAAAGACTTCCTCAATCTCTTCGAATATAGATTTTATGATTTTAATTAGATTTCAATTATCCAACTGCAGTTAATCCAATCAATGTATTTTTCAGCATGATTCATAAAACATACAATTTGTAAGACACATTTCTGTTTTTCAATTCGATTACATATCCTCAAAATAACTTCATCTTCACAGGTATAATCAGTTGTTCCAAGCGCATCTGTAATTATTATCAATTATAATCTAGCACACTCTTTTTTCCCGGAATTGCAGCTTATTTCAAAAAAAAAAAAATGCTTCAAATATTCCTGCGAGGAGCATTCGAAAACTTTCTCAAAGCTTATCAAATTAAAAAGATAAACATCTTTCAGGAATAAATTCGATTTTATTATGATTAAATTATTTAAAAGTTGGCAATTACTACCATTTATTGTTCGTTGAGAACCTAACAGTTTCTTATCAACAATTTCTTCGGTATATACCAGATCAGCGCCATATTCCAATGCCAAAGTTCTGCAAAAAAGTTTAGATAAAATTATGATAATGGCACTAACTTTTTACAAATATAATAAAATAAAAATCTATCATTCTCAGAATCAAAATATCATTTCTTCACTTATACATCAGTTAAAGGTTGGATTCATTTCTAAAAGAAATGGTTGACAGATAAATCCCTAATCATTTAATCTTATTAATGTAATAACAAATTAGCTGCGATGAATTTTTGAAAATATGCATCTCATATTTCATTCCCATTTGTCAAGGTATAATTGAGGATTCTTTCAGATAATTTCATTTATTACTAATAAAAGATAACTGAGATTGAATAAATTTTGATCCCAAAAATTATCACACAGTGATTCAACCTGAGGGGTGTTCTACCAGCTCGTACCATTGGAGCTAGTATCAACTTCTTTGCATACAAACCGCTATCAGCCATTGTCACCTCAAAACTAGATCTCGCGATCTAGTTAACATCTATGTGCATTGTTGCGGCACAACTTTGATACCAAATCCAAAAGTGAAATCTAGAAAGAAATACTATTAGCAATAACTTTATGAAAATATTGAAACATTACCACAAACAATGTAATGTTACGAACACTATTTGCCTCTGAATCCTTCTGACCTAAACTTTAAATTTTCGTTCAGTCTCAAATCCAGTCAACTGCACAGTTCTTTTGCTGATTCAAAATTGAGAAAAAAGATGACCCTTATTAAAATGACGCATATCTCCGAAATCAATATTAAAAGAATTAACTGATTTTTTAAGCAAATAATCAAATATTCAGATGAAAGTTGAAATTTGACAAGAACTTTAAAACGAGCACAATTGTTCTACTCGTCACTGAAGCATAAAATAATAAATGAGGATTTTCACTAAAATTTCTTTATTCACACAATCTGTCAAAGTCAAAGTAAAATTTCTTTATTCATATAATCCATCAAAGTATCAAAGTTGAAAAAGCTTTTCGTTTATTTTTAGGTGAAGCGATGACAAACTTCAAAAGCAGAGTGCACAAAAACCTCAGTTATCAAATTTCAAAAATGACTTTAGATCTGAAATTGCCAAAAAAGCGATCAAATACATGACTAATGCAGAATATGCTCAAATATATGTATGTATATTACACATATATTCTCAGAAAAAAATGTCACAAAAGAAAAAAAGTACCATAATCTCCAAAAAGAAGAAAGAACAAATTGAAGAAACAGAAATGCGTTCAAAAAATGAATTACATGTGATTTTCATGATTTGACCAGAGAGATAGAAATATGAAGCCAAAAATACTTCTCTAACCCGAAAAATCCTGGAAACCTTTCCTGAAATCGAATTGTTTTAGGCAATAAATCAAATTTGCATATTCTGGAAAGATAATAACATGGTTTTGGTGTGCCACATATTATAATCAGAAGAGAACAGCAAATGATGAAACATATGCAATGCAGTTGAAAAAAAGGCATCGGATGAAAATAATTGCTAGAATCTGTATGAAAATGAATACCAAGAACTGTTACATGGGATGATAAGCCATTTAGAATTTCAGTAAGTTTGCTATGCTATTAAGCCTCTTGAAATTCGAATCTAAATTAAAAAATCCGGAAATGAAGTCAATCAAGCCTAAAAATCATGTATTTACAAAGCAATAAAATTCCTTGAAAAATCGAATTGGAAATCCAAGTGGATGTCTACTGAAACATTATTTACAGTACTATCACTACTATTAATGCAGAATATAGTAGTCTAGGACCAGAAAAGAGGACAAAATGCATACAGGTTAAAAGGGCCACTGAAATATCAAAATCCCCAAAAATCTAAGATAAAAAATAGAGATAGAGATTTCGCATGTTTAGAGAAATTGTTTTAAATCCAAGGACGAAATTTTCAAACGAAATTACTTCTCGTTATTCATTATTCATTAGGGTGTGCATGTGCCTTAAAATAATGGCGTGAGTGCACACTATACAATACGTTCCACGCAAAAGACTTAGAGACGCTACAAATTAAACATCGGTCCGTTTAATCTATTCGTTTAGTTACGCTTCCCATAGTCCAAAGTTTGCTTTAGTCATCCTTGTAAATAATCACTGTTCAAAACATCCAGGAAGATGTCTTAACATGTTCCCTAATTTTTTAAGTTCTAAGTCATTAAAGCATTGCAACAAGTGTACGACAAAATTTCGTTGGAGAATGAAATGAATAAAATTCTAAATTTTAATTGAATTTCCAAAAAAATTTAAATATTTCCGCCGATAAAACATTTGGCCAAGTGGTACAAAATCGTGCATTCGTGGACAGAGAAGCAAACTCGGGGATGTGGAATGATAAAAAAAATTATACAAAACTAAGGATAAACTGATTAAGCAGGATATTTACAGCGATATAAAGACCTAGGCTAAAATAATAAACCGAAATTCATGAAAATTTGACTAAAAGACAGATGAACATTGTGATACTCGTCTGAGGTCCGACACTTCAAAAAAATGACCGTCGAGTCAGTGCTGCCTGTTCTAGATTACCGCGAATGTAAGAAATATTGTGATTTAACGCTTGGCTTCCATTAAATGAAAATTATTATGCGACCCATATGAATTCCCATTCATCGTAAAAAATACTACCCACTACATAATTTCTAATAGCTATAACAATTTAAACTGATTTTAAGACTTAAGCTGTTGTTATATAAATAAGGAAGCCAAAATCTACTTTTCAGAATTTCAAATAATTGGATTTTCTGTACTTAATTTAATTAAAGTCTTCGAAACAGTGCTCATCAGTTTTTCCAATAATTCAGCACTAAATTTACAAATGACTGAAAGTTTGTGGCAGCCATATCGACGATCAAATTAAAGAACATCAAAATTCACAAAAATAAAACAAAAACTGATAATGGGGCAAATATCAAAATTCCAGGTTCTGGGCGACCAGCTTATCCACATCTGCAAACACGGCAACACCAAGTTGCATTGCCGATAAATCGCTACGAAGTTTCCGCGCAGTACGAAAATGCATTGAGAGTAGCGATTCTTGCGGGAAACCCATATGCTCTTTAAAAAATCGAACCTCTGTTTTTTTTTTTTAAATGTTTTTGTTAAATTCTAGTAATTACTCCAGAAACACTGGTTATCTTAACTGATCAAAAAGAGGAAAAGCATAAAGAAATAAAATTCATTAATAATTCAACACGTATTGTTGATTTATCCAAAATCAAAGCAAAAAATCATAAAAATAACCTCGTAAGGCGCTATTTAATCCGTTAGCTGCTTGCACACGCTGCACCTGTTCAAGCAAATAGCGAAGTGATGTATCCAAAGGTTTTGTATGACATATCAAAGCAAGAATATCCTGGAAAATAAGCGCTAAATATCTAACTAATCAAAGTTAGTGAGAAATCAGATCGTCATTGAGATGCTGCAAAGTGAGTGACTCACTGATTCAACTCGTTCATTTACCTGTTTCCATATCATAATTACTGCTCTGCCAAAATTATCATTGATCTTGCCAACACAATATGACATTCTTCCAACTTTGAAGCATCCTGCACTTTTGCTTATGCAATCACTGAATTGGAATTAAACGCCCAAATCGAAACGCACGTTTCATTTTCAAAAAAAAAAGAAAAAAACTTACGTGCATCCGGCGAACCAGATCTTCCGGTGGGTTTATTATTTCTTGGCACAAAGCATTGATTTCTCGACCTAGTTTGAGGAGTCTTTCTATCTCTTCGCACTCCATCATATCTTTCGGATCACCACCCGTCCAACCTGAACATGAAGTAAATGCTCGCTCGGTACCGCCAATAACATCTTGATGTGTGTCACCACAAGATGGATCTAAATAATTATCACAATTTTGAACAGTAAGAAATTAAACAATTCTGAATTTGAGATATTAAATGCAATAAATAAAATCATTTCAAAGGTTTCTTTTCAGCAAAAACAAAAAAAAAATGAGATGACACCAAAAGTAATTTTAGTTTTGTAATATAAACCTTGATCTTCATCAATGATAGTAGTTGCTGATGTAACCGGTTGAGATACGCCGTTTGATAGGGCACCATTACTTGTTGTGGCATTTCCATTAGATGCTGAAATTTTTTACAGACAGTCCGTGAAACTAATCTTAATGACCGCAGTCAAGATTTAATGTCTTAGGACTTTGCAAGAATATGTCGAATATCTAAATGCGTTAACTCAACAGGGTCTAATGTATAAACTATTTCGTCCAATCTTATTCATCATCATTTATGCTGTAATTGAACCTTCGTTTAAAATATAACAAAAATCCAATGAAGAGAGAGCAAAAAAAAGCCAACTGTGAATTGCTCCATTCGATGACGAAGAGTGGTCACTTCCAGCTTTATCCTCCACTAATTCATCAGTTGACATATTACTGAAATTTATGCTAGTAATCAAAGGGATCCAACAAAATAATTTCAGAAATTAGTGGCTTGAAAACTGAATAAAAATAGATAAAAGTAATAATGTGTCTTACTGGATAACACTGCTGCTTGTTTGTGCATGAGCAAATCGGTTGGAATTTGTTTGCCCTCCTTCATTTACCGTACGTGACCGACGAGTAACACATATGAAAGGTTCTAAAATGATTTCACATACACATATGTAAATGATGTATCGAAGAGTTGTGATTTGTGCAAAGTTAATAGTGTGCGTTAAAAAAAAAAAAAGGAGATGAATCAAAAATGTTTTCGAGTTTTTTAATGAATATAAAGAATAAAATAATATACTGAAAACAAACCCCATTCGTCGTTGCGTCTTTTGAATGGATTAATCGTACCCAGATTTTCATTACTGGCAGTAATTGTAAATGGATGCCCTTTTCTACTATACACTTGAGCATACGAATCACCTCCTGAAAATCATTATAATCATTTACCTTACATTACTGTGCACTTCTGTTTCCTACTGCAAATATTTCTTCACATTATGTCCAGCGAATATTCGAACAACAGCAAAACGCTTTTATAGTTTCCACTTTCCATACTATTACTTTTGTTCAAAGCACATTAAAAATGCCTTCCAATACCATGCATCATTCCACTTCGATTGTAATTGATATATAAAAGAGTCCACTACTCACTCCCTAACCTCAATTTATTTAAAATCATGCATCTATTGACGAGATCTATGACTGAACGAAACATATCTATGCCAACCTGAGATTGTTGAAAGACTGCTTTGTGCTGTACTAATTTCTTCTTTTGGAGACACACCACTAGCTGCATCACGTGAACACACAGAAGAAATTGCGATCTGGAATATTTAGCTATTTTAATATTTAGCAGTAATTCCACGAAAAGGTTTACCTTATCTATTTGTCAAAATTCTATTTTCAGAAGAAATATTCCGACTTTCGGTATACTACGCTTTCCCCCAATAAAGCAGCCAGATTTTAATTTCGATTCTATGCAAATCACT